AGTCTTTTAAACTTTTTCATCGCAGTGGGTGCTTCTGGAAGCCTTTCAGCCTCTCCCAAAGGTGCTTTTTCAAAAGGCAGCTGGACTTTCTTTGCTTTTTTTTTTCCTTGAAGACATTTCGCTTCTCATCTAAGAAGCTTCTTCAGTTCTGACGGAATGTTGGGAAATGGAAGGATTTATATTCCTTGCAGTCATCTGGTCATTAGCACTGAGTGGTGAGATGGCATAGAGGCGGAGCTTTCGCCTCACAATCAGGAGACTGTGAGTTCGATCCTAGGTAAAGGCAGATATTTCTCTCTCTGGGCGAATGAGAATATATCTGCTGGGGGAAAAACTCCGCCTTGGTGACAGGAAGGGCATCCGGCCAGTAAAGATTCAGCTCCATTCAGTTGCCCCGACTCCACCCCAGTGTAAGGGATTACGGGATCATCAAAATGCAATTTTTTTGTTGTTGTTAGCACTCTCTCTGTGAGCCGTTGAGGACACTTGGGGGGATTTATCTTTGCCCTCAAGGTTACCTGAATCCGAGTGTAAAAGGGTATGGAATCTTCTTGGAACTGAGGAAGCTTCTTGGATGTGAAGCGAGACGTCTTCAACAGGGGTGGGTTCTAAATATTTTTACTACCGGTTCTGTGGGCGTGGCTTATTTTAAGGATGTGGCTTGGAGGTCATGTGACTAGGTGGGCGTGGCTAGCTGGTCAGAGTCATTTCTGGAATGTCCTCGCACTTACGACCAGTCCTCGCACTTACGACCCGACTCATTTGTTTGCTTTGAACACTGATCAGCTGTAGGACGGCCCTTTGAAGCCCCGCGGCAAGAGTTTAAACAGTTTTTTTCCCTCTAGTCATCAGCTGGGACTCAGGAGGCAGCAATAGATTGGGGGTGGGACCAAATAAAAGGTAAGAATAACGTATGGGAGGGCGGGGGGGGGAGAACCGGTTCAGTGATGTCATATAGTCACCGCTACCGGCTTGGCCGAACCGGACCGAACCGGGAGGAACCCACCACTGGTCTTCAAGGAAAAACAAAGTCCGATTGCCTTTTGAAAAAGCAGTTTTGGGACAACCATGACCTGGATGACTGAGAATCCCCATAGTCTTTCAGTTTCTCCTTGCCCAGTTGTTTTGTTTTAATGAACATTTTGGGCTGTGTAGTCCCTTAGGCCAGGGGTGTGACCATTCCATTGGCTTTTAAGGCCTGGCCCAAGCTTTGTCTAGTCTGCAAAGGCTACCGTCCCAAGGTTAGAATGGGACAACTCGCCATGGCCAAATTGCCGCGGCCAACTCACCGCTGCCAATTTGCCATGGCCAACTGACCACAGTCAGCTCACTGCAGCCAACTTTCTGCAAGCTAACTTGCCGTGGGACAATCCAACCATTTTATTTCATTATTTTAAATAATTTTTTAAAATCTTTTATTGTTCGTCTTTCGCATTTCGTTTTGTCCCTCCTTTGGCATCCTTTCTTTAAGGATCCTATTCCACCATTTCTTCAATATTTATTTTATTTTATTTTATTTTATTTATTTATTTATCAAAATTTATATGCAGCCCTTCTCCCGTAGGACTCGGGGCGGCTTGCACAATAAAAGAACATAATAAAATACTAAAACCAAAAACCAAGTTAAAATCCCCACAATTTAAAATCACACAGCCGATCAGGGGATTTGCCGAAAGAGCCATGTCTTCAGGTCAGCGCGGAAAGTGCAGAGGTCGGGAGCCATCCGGAGCCTGGTGGGTAACCCATTCCAGAGGGTTGGTGTGGCCACAGAGAACGCCCTCGACCTGGGGGCCGCCAGCTGACATTGTCTGGCCGACGGCACCCGGAGAAGGGCAGCTCTATGTGAACGCACAGGGTGGTGGGAGGCCGGTAGGAGGTGGTCCTGCAATTTTGTAGCTTTTGTCCTGGGGTAAGGTATCCCACAGCAAGGTGGCCGTGGAGAGTTGGCTGTGATGAGTTGGCATGGCAATTTGGCAACTTGGCTGCAGCGAATTGTCCTAGACCAGTGATGGCTAACCTTTTTTGCCATCGTGTGCCAGGAGGGGGGGAGCAGGGGGAGGTCACACACAGGTGTGCCCACACTCCTAATTCTATGCGCCCCATCCCTGCGCATGCATGCACGACCACCCCTGCTCCCCCTGCTCCTGGCATGCGATGGCCCGGTAGGCCCATTTTTCTCTCTCACCTGGCTCCAGAGCCTCTCTAGGAGTCTGGGGAGGGCGAAAACAGCCTTCCCCACCCTCCTGGAGGGCCTCCAGAGGCCAGAAATGGCCCAGTTGGCAAACAGGCCGTTTTTGGCCTCCGGAGGACCTCCGGGGTGGTGGGGAAGGCTGTTTTCACCCTCCCCAGACTCCTAGAGAGGCTCTGGAGGCTGGAGACAGCAAAAAACGGGCCTTCCGGTCCCACTGGAAGTTGGCGAATGGGCCATTTCTGGCCTCTGGGGGGGGGTGAGGAAGATCATTTTCACCCTCCCCAGACTCCTAGAAAGGCTCTGGAGCCAAGTGAGAGAGAAAAATGGGCCTTCTCCACCACCACTCCGAGGCCCTCCGGAGGCAGGAAACAACCTGTTTCCTTACTTCTGGTGGGCCCAGAAGGCCTGAAAATCAGCTGAGTTCACGTGCCCACTGATATGGCTATGTGTGCCACCTGTGGCATGCGTGACATAGATTCACCATCACGGTCCTAGACCCTCTGCTAGCAGCACAAAGGCCCATGTTGGTGGAGAGTTCCAAAATTTTGCGACGAGGGGGGGGGGGTTCATTTGCCCTGCCAAATCCTTCAAATGCAGATAAAAAGGCCTCCAATTTTGGCCTCTCCAACTTGAAGAGAGTCAGGGTACAACTAAAAAGCTGAGGGGTGGGTCCCTCCCTGCATTTTTTGGGACCCTTAGCAACTTCTTGAGGCTGGACTCTGCTAAAGTTGCGTAGTCTGATTTGTTCCAGTTTTGGAAACAAGCCAGATCTCTATTTATTTCCTAGTCTCAGCCCCTCTTCCTCCCTCCTTCCCTCAACACCACCGCAGCTCCTATTCTCTTTTCCCTTGGCTATGACCTCCTTTTAGATCTGTTTCTTAGTGTGCATTGATACACAGACTCTCTATCGCACTTTTGGTCCCTGAGGTCTCTCGATCAAGGAGGCTACAGCTTGTTTATGCAAGACCAGCACTGGCAATTCCCAAGTGATTCCCAGCATAGCCAGTTAAGGGAATCTTGTGTAGGCCAGAAAAAAAACTCTTCCTTCGTTTTGAAGGAATATTGTCAATCAGAACAGGCAACGCTGAGTTTTTTTCCTCCATTTTTTTAAAATGATTTTTATACTCTTGCATTTGACCTCTTGGTTCCCTTTTCCTTGACTTGAAACCACGATGGTTTCCTAGGTCTTCAACCATATCTTACTTGAGCCTGTGTGTGTCTCTCAGTCTCCTCCCAGACCAATTATGAAGTTTCATGTCTGGAAAAAAAATGTAGAAACGTTTAGGTTTCTGAACCTGGTTTGCTCTGAATTGAGCTCATTTGGAAACATGCTGTTACATCACGGTAGTTCAGCCAATGATGGTGGTGGATAACCCTTGTAAGGGAAATAGAACAGAATAGAATAACAGAGTTGGAAGGGACCTTGGAGGTCTTCTAGTCCAACCCCCTGCTCAGGCAGGAAACCCTATACCATTTCAGACAAATGGTTATCTAATCTCCTCTTAAAAACTTCCAGTGTTGGAGCATTCACAACTTCTGGAGGCAAGTTGTTCCACTGATTAATTGTTCTAACTGTCCAGAAAATTCTCCTAAGTTCTAGGTTGGTTCTCTCCTTGATTAGTTTCCGCTCATCACTTCTTGTCCTGCCCTCAGGTTCTTTGGAGAATAGCTTGACTCCCTCTTCTTTGGGGCAGCCCCTGAGATATTGGAACACTGCTATCATGTCCCCCTGGTCCTTCTTTTAATTAAAGTAGACATGTACACAAATGTACACAAAAGCTGCTGGGTTGCTTAACAAGTGATTCAAGATGTTGATTCCATAACAGTGACTACTCTAGTTTTGCTAATGTAGGAGAGACACTGGCAGAACCAGGCGGAGGCGTCAAATGGGGCATCAGTTTAGAATCTCTACATAGTCACAAGAGGACAAAGTCCAACCCTTCTTGAATGCCGTTGTAGTTTTACCCGGGGCAAACTGTTCACCTGAGAAGATTCCTGTACATAGGCTTGACTTGAGCAATAAATCAGTAATTTTGAAGCTTCACACGTGGACCTGCCTGTTTGCGCCTGACAAAGGGCCCTGCATTTGAAATGGTTAGGAAACTTTGGTTAGCTTTTGTTAAGGATATTCTTGACTCATAACCGATGTTGTGGATTATTGAGCAGAGTACCCTTTGAGTAAACGCATAAAAAGCGACTGGGAGTGGTTGTGAACAACCACAGTTAACATACAAACACACTGAGTTGTTGTAGTCTTTTACTTTTAGAAAAAAGTAAAGCAAAGTCCAAAAACAATCTAAGTCATACACAGATAAGACGAGAGTTAAAAGATCAATCCAGGGATATTTCAAGTACAAAGTCTTCTTACCAGTTGTAGTCATACACAATAAAACAGTTCTTCTTGAGTTTCAAAACAGGAACAAGTTCAATATAAAAACATTCAAATAATAGTAGAAAGCAACATGTAGCTATGATCAAACAGTGATCATGCAGAGAGATCAGGTAGAGAGTTACATCAAGTAAGCAGGTAAAATGGTGTAATACCCACCCAAGCCATGATCCAGACTTCCCTTAAGTACATTGGCTACAGAGCTTAGCCAATCAGGATACAGGATGATGCAATACAATCTTAAAGCAATATAATACCTTTCTGACTGCAAACATACATTGTTGGTTTATATATTGCCTGAGCAACTAGTTAGACAAATAGCCATTTCCTAACAGCTTTATCCATATCTTTGGCATGTTGATATTTATTCTTTGTTTGTTTTTGTTTCCTTTGTCTCCCCTTTTCTTTCGATGCTGGCAGCAAACTCTGGAGATGAACCTCACCAACTTGGTTAAGCGCAATAGTGAGCTAGAAAACCAGATGGCCAAACTGATACAGATCTGTCAGCAGGTGGAGGTACGTGCGAGGATGTGTTGGTACTCTGTGTCTGGATCGGGGTGGGTGGGAGATCAGATTATGTGTGCGTGTGTGTGTGTGTGTGTGTAACAATGGGGGGGAAAAGGAGGAGGAAGAGAATGAAGATGATGATGATGTTCTTCTCTGGCCAAGTGATTTTTGGAAAGTCTTTGGTTGGTGTTCATACAACACGCCAAGCTGAGCTCATTGGGATTGTGCATGGTTTACCACATGTGGTTTTAGTATGATGCAATGTTAGGCCATACTTACCTATTTAGGGGTAATAAAATGCACTTGCGTTTTGTTAACCCAACTGAATTTAAAATGTGTGTACTCTTTGAAGGGACGCGGTGGCTCACTGGCTAAGACACTGAGCTTGTCGATCGAAAGGTTGGCAGTTCAGCGGTTCGAATCCCTAGCACCGTGAAACGGGGTGCGCTCCCGGTACTTGTCCCAGCTTCTGTTAACCTAGCAGTTCGAAAGCAGGTAAAAAATGCAAGTAGAAAAATAGGGACCACCTTTGGTGGGAAGGTAACAGCGTTCCATGCCCCTTTGGTGTTGAGTCATGCCGGCCACATGACCACAGAGATGTCTTCAGACAGCACTGGCTCTTCGGCTTAGAAAAGGAGATGAGCACTGCCCCCTAGAGTTAGGAACGACTAGCACATATGTACAAGGGGAACCTTTAGCTTTATGATCTTGAAGGATACCAAACATTTCTATTTAGTGCTCTCAAGAAGGCCTTCTTTCCACCTCTTGAATTTGCTACACGCCCCACAATCCTTACCTTTCACTCACTGAAAACCAGATACTCCCCCCCCTGGTTTATCTGAATCAAGAAGAACCTCCCAATCACGGAGATTTAACTCAGTGCATCGGAACAGCAAGGCAGAAATATCCTGCCTTACTTGCTTCCAAATGCAGAACAATTAATAGTGAATTATCCCAGTGCTTTGTTTACCAAGGCGATGCTTAGGGAGAAGCCACAGCAATTAGTTTCTTCTTAATGGCTTATTGATGTTCAGTTACTAAATTAAGAAGTGGTTCCTTGAACAAGATGCCAGTTCTTTTTTTTTTCTTTTTAATAATGGAAATAGAGATCATGATTTAGGACGGCGGAAAAACCGACTCAATATGCAGTTCAGCTTTATTTCTCAGGGGGAATCCACCTCCTTTGTCATCTACCTGCATACCACCCTCATTCTCTCATACAATTCCTCTCCAGCCCAGAGTATAGAACAATTCAAAGAAATAGTGCAATGTTAGAAGATTTGGAGAGACCAGGCCCAGAGAATTATCAAGGGTCGGAAATGATTGAATGGATTTCTTCTTCTTCTTCTTCTTCTTCTTCTTCTTCTTCTTCTTCTTCTTTCTTCTTCTTCTTCTTCTTCTTCTTCTTTCTTCTTCTTCTTCTTCTTCTTCTTCTTCTTCTTCTTCTTCTTCTTCTTCTTCTTCTCCTCCTCCTCCTCCTCCTCCTCCTCCTCCTCCTCCTCCTCCTCCTCCTCCTCCTCCTTTTCTTCTTCCTCTTCCTCTTCCTCATCACATTGGCAGTATTCCATCTCCAGGTTCAGGATTCTGGGTGGACTTGGGATGCCGAGAACAGACATGCAATATGGATTCCAGCTAAGGATCTCCCCTTCCACTTCTGCCGATGTTGCTGCCTTGGGAAAAAATACCCCATCGATTGAACCAGCACTACCCAACCCTTTCTTCTGCAAATGCCTTCTCTGCTGATCTCTCTGCTGGGGAAAGGATTTGATCTTTGTTTGCAGCAATTTTATTTTCAAACACAACTCATTGTGGAAGGCAGATTGATCTCGTTCCCCTCCACCCACCCGTCGGCCACCCACTTCTCAGCCACTAAAAGGCCGCAGTGTGTGGCCTGAGCTGGCCAGAGCGGAGGCTGTAAAGCTAAATTAATGAAAAACCATCAGCAGCCCCCAGCCCGAAGTGTCAGGAAGAGGCATAGCATTTAAAGTTCACCGAAGAATATATTGTCCCCTGGAGCCTATTGACTAGAAGATGACCATGTGCCATTGCAGTAACATGCTTGATAGAAATGCACAGGGGAGCCCTGCTGTGTTCAACCTGCTGGTTCCATATTCAGAGAACTCAATTTCGTTGAAAAGTTGCGCTGTTCTTGCCAAAGGCCATTTCATTTAAACTAGCTTGGTTAAATCAAGCAGTTTTCTGCCTTCTGAAATGTTACTCCGAATGTTTAGATGCCCTGGATGACGTTCATCGAACAATGGCCTTCTCCATCTCCAGAGCAGTTTGGGAAGTACAACTCTCGAAATGTCTAAGCTTCTGGCAATTCGAGGAGCTGTAGTAGACTCAGAAAACACCTGGAGACAAGGAATCGCTGATGATTCTGTCTATGAAAGGGAGAAGTGATGTCCGATCGACAAAGGAAAAGTGGCAGTTTCCCAGGAAGGAGGGAGCTCATTCCCAGAAAGGGGCAAGACAAGAGGCAGCACAGCAGTGGTGGTATTCAGCCGGTTCTATCCAGTTCGGGAAAATCAGTAGCGGCGGCTGCGGGAAGCTCCGTCCACCTGCCCGGATGTAATCACATCCCATTTATCCACATTGTTGACACACTGCGCACCAGGGGTGGGTTCTAAAATTTTTTACTACCGGTTCTGTGGGCATGGTTTATTTTGGGGGCGTGGCACAATTCTTTAGGATTTAGCAGAGGTACTGGCTACCAGGGTTTTAACTGCTTGCAGAGCTGTACCGGTCTACCCATTTGTTTTTGGAGCGCACTGGTCTACCACTACACTGCCTTTTAACATTGATCAGCTGTAGGGCAGCCCTGTGAAGCCCCGCAGCAAGAGTTTAAACAGTTTTTTTTCTTCTAGCCGATCAGCTGGGACTCGGGAGGCAGTGAATAGTTTGGGGGTGGGGCCAAATAAAAGGTAAGAATAATGCGGGGGTGGGTGGGAGGGCCCAGCTCCTGAACAAAGAGAACCGGTTCGGTGACGTCATATAGTCACCGCTACCAGCTCGGCCAAACCGGGCTGAACCGGGAGGAACCCACCACTGCTGCGCACGCACGGAAGTGGTACGTGCAAGTGAAATGAGCACACACATGCACACACTCACATTTGTGAACCGCACGGAAGGCCCTGCGCATGCACGGAAATGGCACATGCGAGCGAAGCGAGCTCACAGTCATGCACGCTCACATTTGTGAACCGGTAGCGAAAGTAAGTGAATACCACCCCTGCAGCACAGCCCAGGGCTGGAAAGGAGACAGAGGAGAAGAGTAAGGAGAGCCATTCCCTAGAGCGGTGATGGTGAACCTATGGCATGCGTGCCGGAAGTGGCACACAGAGCCATCTCTCTGGGCATGCGAGCTGTTGCCTGTTGCTCTTCCGGATGGATGGAAACTGACCAAGGAGAACTTCAACCTAGAAATAAGGAGAAATTTTCTGACAGTGAGAACAATCAACCAATGGAACAGAAGTTGCGTTCGAAAGTTGTGGGAGCTTCATCGTTGGAGGCTTTCAAGAAGAGACTGGACTGCCATCTGTCAGAAATGGTGTAGGGTCTCCTGCATGGGTGGGCGTTTGGACTAGATGACCTACAAGGTTCCTTCCAAACTCTGTTAATCTGTTAAAACAACAATTTCCACCTTGTTTCCTCCCTTCTAAAGAATGGCCCATTTGCTCCTCAAACCTCTCGGTGTCTCCATTCTCCAGCTGAATGCCTTTTCATCCCATTTCACCTTCCGCTTTCAGACCCCTTCCGCAAGGTTAATCTTGCATTTGGGGGAAACATCAGTTTCATAGATCCAGGGGTTGTGGCCTATGAAATGCCAGTGAAAGTGGTACATTCCTTTTACTTCCTGATCAAAAGCAAGGCAGATGAAAAGGGATCAAAGGTGCACTTTTCCTCCCCAAACTCTTCTGTGAAGGCAAAGGGAAAAAATATTTAGCTCTAACTGCGTGTTGGCTTTTAGCTGAGTTTCTGAAAAGACCTTTTCTCCTGGGGAGACTTGATTTGGTCCAGGGGAATCAAAGAAAGGAGCAGAAGTGACCCCAGTGAGGACTTAAATCATCAAGAGTTTGATGTTTTTAAAAATAATATTTTTTGGGGGGGGTAGTGTTTGTGTGTGGATGTTCAAGAAAGAAGAACAAAGGATGGCTCTGTCAGGTTTCGAGGTCGTCTCAAATAAATTGCATTTCAAACAAAGTCTTTGATGAAAAAAAACTCCCATTTATTAAGCACGACATTCTACTCCGACTCCATCGCAGCCAACACTGACTTCCAGACCCAAAACCCTCCCTTTCCATTCCCCACTCCCTTGCACTCATTGGCCATCTTCCAAGTCACTCTACCCCTAATCTACTGCTCCAGCTCAAAGGAATTTCCCCCCTCCCATCCCATCTCCTAGGGGATATTATCTCCAGGGAAAATAAGTAGGTGAAAAGTCAAACGTCCCTTTCCAGACACCTCCGCTTCTCCTTCTTATGTCAGCACTAGAGTAAAATGCAGCTTGAAGTGCTGACAGGCTCTTTGGTCCCCCAGATGTTCTGTGAAGTCCTCTCTACAAAAGGATCCTGTAGGATAATATACAGTAGTGGCCCAAATTGTGGAAACCTTTTTGGGAAAATGCATTTTCTAAAAGTAGCTAATAACACCACTTTTTTGGGGGAGTAGTACCCTAAAATTATATATCAATGGAAAGATAATTTAATCAAGAACGTAATGCAATAACTTTTAGGAAGGATTTGCTATTAGAATAGCAGTTACAGTATAAAGAAGAAAAGTGAAACACATAGAAAAAACGAGGTATACAAAAATTATCACCCTAGAAAAAACTAGATGCTGTTTTAGGACCTCTTTCCAGAGCACGATACCATAGTCTCTTGAGACTGAAGGATGCCAATGTTATGTTAGAAAAAATCGAGATATACAAAAATGATCACCATGTCAGTTAATACTTCGTTGGGTAACCTTTAGCAGGAATGACGGCCTTACAACGTCTTCCCAGGGAG